TGTTTATCCTTGATAATATAATAATTTAAAAAATGGTATTTCATTTTTCCTTCAAATTGTTCTTGAGGCCGGGCACAGTGGCTCATGCCTGTAATCCCAGCACTTCGGGAGGCTGAGGTGGGTCTACTGTGAGTCCGTTAAACTTCTTTCCTTTATAAATTATCCAATCTCGGGTATGTCCCTATAGCAGCGTGAGAACTGACTAATACAATATGGATGTGTCTACATGTGAGTAAGTGGAAAACTACACTGACACCATTTTGAAACTACAACAGGAAGCAAGTTTGAATGTAGCAACACAACTAAATGAAACTGAAGGAGAGCTCATCCCATGTCTGATACACAAGAAGTTAGTGAGTTATTTTTACAGGATTATGTAAACAGCAACAAGGATGTTCCATCCAACATTCTGATGGACAGAAGCCATGTTCCCTGAGATAGGTGGATATAAAAGACCCATAGAGGACAACTTTGTAGAAGAAAGCCTTCCTTTGCAACAAAACATTTTCCTGGTCCACTGTCACCATGTCTTGCTGTGATTCCTAGCTCGAAGGATGCTGCAGCGTCCCCACTGGACTGGCCACCACTATCTGTCCCTCTGACATAAGCTGTCAATGTGAAGTCTGCCTGCCCAGCATCTGCCCTCATGAGATCAGCCTCCTTCAGCCCACCTGCTGTGAAACCTGTCCCCTGCCCTGTTGCGTGCCTGATTCCTATGTGCCATCCTGTTGCCTGCCCAACAAATGCCACCCAGATCCAACCCTGAGTAGGCTCTCAGTCACCACCTGCGTCCAGCCTTGTGAGTGTGAACCACTTTGCTGCTAGCCAAAGAGCTTTGCCCACATTGCCCTGAGGACCTTCAGTAGTCATTAAGGGCTGCTCAGCAAATGGCTTTTAATTAGGCCATTTGGAAGAAAATATTATAGCACTGTGCCTTCAGTTTTACAGAAGTTTTCTTTTCCTGTTTCGAACAATGATTTCAAATGAGAAATGGGAAAAAAAAAAATGCTATCACGGATCTCCTTACTTCAAAACTAAATAAACACCACAACTCCCCAAACCACATACTGTCTCAACATTAATGCTATAATTACCCAATGACTCTTGACACAAGCATCATGAACTTATAAATATATCCAGCAGAATTACACTTTCTGATGACATCAACATAAATTTCATAGCCAAAAAGAGGCCTCACAGGCATACGTAGATATCTGAAGAAAACTGTGAGGATAGTGAAATGCATTAGGCTCTAAGCTTAGAGTCGATTTAAATGCCAAGGTCAGCATCTAACTTTAATTTTTGTTTTTTCCCGCCTCTAAATAAACTCACTTGTGTCCTTAAAGAAGGAGTGAAGCTGGCAATTTGAGATCAATATGCTCACAGAAAGGACCTCAAAGATTGAGCTAACCCCTATTTTTTTCACCATCTCATTTAAGTAAATCTTTGAATTTAAAAATGTTGGCTGGGCGCAGTGGCTCATGCCTGTAATCCCAGCACTTTGGGAGGCCGAGGCGGGCGGATCACCTGAGGTCTGGGGTTCAAGACCAGCCTGACCAACATGGAGAAACCCCGTCTCTGCTAAAAATACAAAATTAGCCAGGTGCGGTGGTGCATGCCTGTAGTCCCATCTACTCCGGAGGCTGAGACAGGAGAATGACTTGACCCCAGGATGCAGAGGTTGCTGTGAGCAGAGATCACGCCATTGCACTCTGGGCAACAAGAGCGAAACTCCATCTCAAAAAAAAAAGAAAAAAAAAAAAGTTTTGACAACTGTAAAGCAATTCACACAAAAAATGAATCACTCTGTTTATATAAAGGGTTACTGTTATAAAAGGCCATTACAAAAATAAATAAATACCTTTTTAATTCTAATTTGAAAAGTAATCCAATGCAACAAATATTTATCAAATGCCTACCCTGTTTCAGGCATTGTCCTAAGTGCTTGAAAAAGACAAATAAGGCTAACATACGATTACCACTTCCAAAACCTTGCATTGGAGTGAGGAAAACAAATTTAAGTGACAAACTATAAAATACAGCAGAAAGAAATGAGGTTGAAAGGGAAGAATAGGCAGCCCATTTTGTGAGAGCAGAGAAAAGGATGCAAACATCTAGAAGAATCACCTAAAGTTTCTTTATGAAGGGGATGTTTGGCTGAATCTTGAGGGATCAACAGGATTTGGAAAGTAGAGAACTGGGACAGGTCAGTTTAAGCTAAAGAAACAGTACGAACGAGGTCACAGAGGGTAAAGTACCTAGGAGACTCCCGCCTTCACTTTATGTGATGTGCTGTATGATTAACATATGCACGACTCACATAGCTATCATTTTTGTGGTGAGAACACTTAATCCATTCTCTCAGCGTTTTTCATTGCAGTATATGGTTATTCACTATAGTCACCATGTTGTATAGTAGATCTCCTGAATCTATATAATATTTCAAGATAAATTTTAAAAGAGAAGTCAGAGAGAACACAGAGAATGGGAGAGAGTCTTCTTCATATATTCTACTTGCCAAGCCACTGGCTTCTAGATGAGAGAGACTGGTAAGTCAAGAGTAAGTAAACATCAAACATTTCCTTGACGGTTTCAATACTAGTTCATTAACTTTGAATTTTTTAATACACTGGGAAGGCCACTTGAATTTGCTTCTCTGTTCTTCAGTGGTAAAGTGTAGGTATTGAGGCAGGAGAATAGCAAAGGGAATTAAAACTTGGATAAAGGGCAGAGTGAATAAAAGCAGAGACCAGAAGCAAGGTGAAGGGGCAAGTAAGCAAGAAGCAAGATAAGAAGCAGAAGTTAGACCAGGCGCGGTGACTCATCCTGTAATCCTGGCACTTTGGGAGGCCAAAGCAGGTGGATCACTTGAGGTCAGGAGTTCAAGACCAGCCTGGCCAACATGGTGAAACCCCCCTCTCTACAAAAAAATACAAAACTTAGCTGGGTGTGATGATGGGCACCTGTAATCCCAGCTACTTGGGAGTCTGAGGTAGGAGAATAACTTGAACCCAGGAGGTGGAGGCTGCAGTGAGCAGAGAATGCCACTGTACTCTAGCCAAAACAAAAAGTAAGATAAGAGAAGAAAGCAAGTCCCCCATTGCCAGAGCAGGATAAGGACCAAACCACTAAGGGGCAACTCTTCATGGATAAGCATGTGCATTAAAGAGAAAAAGTATCCTTAACATCACCTTGTATGAAAATCAGCTCATTCAGGCTTATGCATATGGACCGCATATCACGTATGTACTTAGAATTATGGGCTGGAGGTGGTGTGCAAGCACACAGGGACCAAAGTAACTAAGCAACACACCTGTCCATCAAAGAGGCAGACACTGGCTAGAGATTAGGCAGTCTTGGGAAGACACACACACACACACACACACACACACACACACACACACACACAAAGACCCAAACTGCACCAAGCTGGGGGCCAATCTCATCTCATAGAGGTCGGTTTGCTCTTGCCCTCTTAGAGTGTAATACTGTGCTTAATACACTTTTGCTGCTTTGTTTTGTTGTGCGTGTCTCATCCAATTCTTTGTTTGGGACACCAAAAGACCATGGCACTATCTGGTAACAGTATGATGTTCAACACCCTTGGCATTTGCTGTAAATTCCTGCTCATGAAAATGATTTGAAAGTTGTTTTCTGCTTTTTTGTTTTTAACTTTTAAGTTCAGGGGTACACGTGCAGGTTTGTTACATAGGTAAACTTGTGACGTGCGGGTTTGTTGTACAGATTATTTCATCACCCAGGTATTAAGCCTAGTGCCCATGAGTTATTTTTCCTGATCCTCTCCCTCCTTCCACCTTCCACCCTCTGATAACTTCCAGCATCTGTTATTCCCTTCTATGTGCCCATGTGTTCTCATCATTTAGCTACCACTTATAAGTGAGAACACGCAGTATTTGGTTTTCTGTTTCTGCATTAGTTTACTAAGGATAATAGCCTCCAGCTCCATCCATGTTTCTTCAAAGGATGGGATCTCCTTATTTTTTATGGCTGCATAGTATTCGATGGCATACATGTGTCACTTATTTTTGTTGTTAAAAAGAAAAAAAAGATAAACTGGTTGTTTTAACATACAACGTATAAGGCTTACCTACGAAAGACATTTGATATTTTCCACTGATTTTAGTCAGCTTTCTTCTCTTTTAAATAGATCTTACTGGTTTTTTGGTAATGTGACCTCAGAAACAACCTACCAAGAATCTTTGCTTTCTTTTTATTCAACAAATTGCCACACAACGAGTATGTAACTTAAATCACACAATATTATCTGAAAGGATTTGTGCTGATCATGGACAGGTGTAGGAAGATGTTGGAATCTAGAATATTACACATTTGAGATTATCTGGTTCAATTTCTGGCTGACTGAAGTAAAAGATGTTGTTTACGGAATACCTCAAAGGAATTTCAATCTAGTTCAAGATCCAAGATATGAAAACAAATAAACAAGCAAAGTAGGGACTAAGTCAGTGAAAAAGTGATTTTTATGAATGCCATAGTTCTAAATTGCATTGGGTCAGATTTCCTGCCAAAATCCACTGTTGTTCTGTGACTCTTAAGGTTTCTCCTTTTAATTCCTATTTCATCTTATTTTGAAGTGCATACACCATTCACATGAAAATGAATCAAGGCTGAGGTGGTTTTCTTTTAATGGTACAGTCAACAAAGAATGGCCACTGTGTGGATCCTTCCTTCCTTCCAATGAATTTATACTTTGATTCACCACAAGATTGGCGTAACTTTGGGAATAGAGACTCTTTTAGAAAAAAACAATCCATAGACTAATACAACCTTGAGAAATTCACTACGGATTTATTAAAAATAACAGGAAGGAATTTCATCCTGTACCATTCTGCCACTTTGCTTGCTCAATAGAACCTGAATTATAATATCACTAAATAATGCAAACATGTCTGAGATGCCTGTAGCCACATGAAACATTCATCTGTAAATAGCCATATTCTTGTTGACTTTATTGAGTTGAAAATGGTCCAATTCATCACTTGAGTTACTCATTCTGAAATTAGTCATTAGAAATCACATTATGTGATCCACACTATTTTAAATTAAGAGGGAAAACAAGAAGAGTTTGGCCTCCAAAATTACAGCTGAATTGTCACTTGGATTGATTACCCATAAAAGTCATATAAGGTTTGGCATGCCAGAAACCTGTGAAGACAAAATGTGATGATCTTGTGACAAAAATGACAAGTCAATGACTCAAAAATATGATTAACTTAACAAGAGCGGGAACTCTTAATGGACATGTAAATGCCAAACAGATTAGAGAATCTCAATGAAAAAGGGTGCCATAAACAAAACAGGAAGCCTTCCAGCTGGACCAATGCCCACTTGGGAGGGTATATAAGAGCCCTAACAAGAGAGGAGACATTTGTACCTCACCAACCTCATCTGTCTAAGAAACTGAAAGCTAACCAGACACCGATTGCCATGGATTGCTGTGCCTCTCGCAGCTGCAGTGTCCCCACCGGGCCCGCCACCACCATCTGCACCTTCGACAAATCCTGCCGCTGCGGAGTCTGCCTGCCCAGCACCTGCCCACACACGGTTTGGTTACTGGAGCCCACCTGCTGTGACAACTGTCCCCCACCCTGCTACATTCCTCAGCCCTGCGTGCCCACCTGCTTCCTGCTCAACTCTTGCCAGCCAACTCCAGGCCTGGAGACCCTCAACCTCACCACCTTCACTCAGCCCTGCTGTGAGCCCTGCCTCCCAAGGAGCTGCTGATGGATGGCTACTTCGCTCAGTGCCCAACAACGAGGAATCCAGAAGCTGTCTCTTCAGTAGTCACTTGCCTCAGTAGTTTACCAGATGTTAAGGTAGATCAGATGGCCCAGATATGAAGAATTTACCTTTGGTTTTAATGGGGGGAAAAAAGAAAAGTATTTTTCATGGTTATTTAGCTGAATAACCATTTGGTTCCTGTGGGCAGGTGAATGTGTTTTATTAGCAAAATACTGTTTCAATCTGTAAGACCTCAGATTACATGTTCTTGATCATACTGCTTCCTGGCTCTTGTTTCTTGTATTGGGTATTTCCATAGAGGAAAATTTCTTGGTGGTTTTTCAAATAAACTATATTTCTCTGGCAAGATGTGTCCTTTGTTTATGTTAGTTTTGGGTATATTTCTTCCATTTTAAAAAGGTAAAAAAAGATGATTATTTTAATTTTTTAAAAAAGAATCTATTGGCAGAATGACTAACATTCTGGATACTACTAACATGGCTTGCTAACTTTTAACAGGTTCTCTTTTATATTTGCCTTCTCTTCTCTCTTCCTCCTCAGACAAATGTAATTTTGGTGTGAACCAACATTTATTTGTCTACTCTTCACTAGTAAATCATTCATTTAGTCCTTGAAACAGCACTAATGGACAAGAATAAATGAAGTTTTAAGAGTTATTCAACATTCTCAAAGTCATAAAGTTACTTACTTAGAAAATCAGAATTCAGCCTCTTGTATGTCTGACTCTAAAGCCCAATTTTTCCTACCACAATACTACCTTCAATACTAATGAAGCCGGAAGCTTAATGAGCACAGTTATGAAATAAACCCAAAATATGCAAGAGAAATAAAACATGTAAGATTCTTTAACAAAATCCACATTGGATTATAATAGAAAAAGGGTACATTGGTTCGTAGATTAAAATTGGCAAGTATTCAATTCTAAAATCTGGGTATTTTGGAGGTGTCCCTATTTCAACTTCATCTTCTCTTAGAGAGAACTCAAAGTGGTCAACTCTAGTCACAAGGCACCAGGAACATACCTCTATTTGCCACCGTACTCTGCACAGATGTTCTACCACAGTAATCAATAGAATGCTAATACTTTTCAGGTGTCTCAGGTTAAGAGCTAAAACTCTGATTAAATATGCTTTAATGCCTTACTTAATTTTATCAGCCTACTTAATTTTATCTCACACAGATTTTTCTTTTCCAAGCCTAGAGAGAACAAGTACATATATGTATATATACTATGTATAATACATCCAATACATTTATGTAACACATATAATATATGTGTGCATGCATATCTATACACAATACATATATAAAGACACAAGTCAAAATCTGAAAATGCCTTGAAATAAAACCACAAGAATACATGCAAGGAAAAGAGTAGGACAAGGAAGGGGAGAAGAAAATGCTTTTAAGCACGCTTGTTTTAAAATATCCTCAATGTACCTGTTAGTCCCTTCAGAAAGAAATTTCTCAGGGGATTCCATAGGCTTTTTACAGCTCAACCTTAAATGAACAGAACTTAGCAGCCATGGAGTCTATGGGACACAACAGAGGATACTGTCAACAAGAGATTCAGTCCATTCACTCATTCATTTGTCCATATTTCCTGAGTGCTTATCCTGTGTCAGGCATCACATTAACGCCAGGAGTAGAAAGATAAAAGAAATGCTATTGCCTCAAGTCTCTAGTGCCCTCAAGTCTCTCCCAAATCTGGTGAAGGAGAAAGACGAGTTATAATCACAATAATTGCAATGCTGAGGGATTCTGCTGTGACTGGGAGGTGAACAGCAAGGCATGCAAGCATACAGAAGGAATAACTAAAACCCAGATTTGGTGATTCAGTGTCAGAGGTGAGAAATAGTTATGGAAAGCCTCTGAGTTATCCAGCCTAAGCTTTAAAAGATGAATAGGCAGCAGGAGAGGTAGGGAACAGTTGTTCCAGACAGAACAACAGCTTAATAAATCATGAAGGCAGCAAAGAGGTTGGCGTTTTTAAGCCACAGGAGGTAGTTGGGAATGACCGGATGAACAATGCATTCAAGAAGGTGAGGCAGAGAAGACAGAAATACAAAGACCCAGACACAAGGGGCTCCCCAAAGCAAAGGGGTTTGGACTGAAACTTTGAAGCAATGAAAGATTTCAAGCAAGAGACCAATATAATCATGTTTTGCTTCTAACTGTCTCTTTTCATTATTAATCTTGGATTTACGTCTTCACTGTCCCAGATCCCTCCATTGACTATAGAAAGATATAATTAAAACTGGACTTCTTGGATGTGTGCTTGTGCGTGTGTGTGTGTGTGTGTGTGTGTGTCTAGATTTTTAGCACTCCGAAAATCTACCATCTCATCAAGAATCACCGTGCTTTTCCTACAATTGCTTAAAGAAAAAAGATACCCTTTGTTTTTAAAAATAAAATGCTTAGTATCTCTGACACATAGTTTAAACTTCCATTTCTAACCACATAAAAGGTAGCTCTATCCCAATAGGTCCTATGTTTAGTTTTTAACACACTGGCTCCCAAACCATCTAAACCATCTCACCTCTCTATGAATCACTATCATCATTTATAAACAAAGGAGAGTAATTTCCAGTTCTCTTAGACCACTGCAGAGAAAATACATTTTAATAAAGTGCTACACGTCTTGTTAATAAAAGAGCTTATTATAATAAACTTGTTGCATTACAACTGTTTGTAATCTGTAACCTTGTCTTATTTATGATTAGAGAAACACAATGTTCTGCATAAGCAGTAACAGTTTCTCTAAGCTTTTATGGTGAACTTAAAGTAATATTGTACCCCAGGTAAGAAGCTGATAGCTTTCTGCCATGAAATTCTAACCCTGAGGGTCTGCAAGCCATGTTTCCTTTGTAATGTTTCCCTCAAAATAATTTTTTTCTTTTATTTTTTGTCTTTTGCCCTTAGAATCCAATCTCTTTTTCCTTCCTATTATAATGTATAATAGCAGCAACTTATAATAATATGTTATGTGTATGAAAAATTCTTCCCCCAAACTATAAACTTCATGAGGGCAAGGATGGTGCCTATTTTGTTTATTGCTATATATCCAACATTTATTACAGTGACTAGCACATAGTAACTGCTCAGTAAATGTCTGTTGAATTATTTTTTAAAGAATAAGTGAAATAATAATCAGTCCTAAGTAAAAGGATGCATACTTTGGCAGGTATTCATACAAAAATAAATCTGGTGAAAGTCCAGGAACCAGCAGATATCATGAATTCTGTCTTTCAAGCAGAGCCATAGAGAGCTTTTCAAATTTTTAAGTTTGTTAATTTATATGCCAAGCACTTTCTCTAATAGCTGATGTGATTATTTATTTATTTATTTGTATAAACTTCTAATATAAATATTTGCTCTTTCCCATAAGGTTGCTCTCTTGCTTACCTTCATCTCTTTTTCTTTTCTTCTTTTGACTGCTTCTTTTATCTTTACCTTGCCTTGAATTTGATCTGTAATTTGCTTTAATCATGATAATAATTTATTTTTGCATAGCACTATATGGTTGTCCATGAGCTTTCACCCTTTTTATCACATGTGAACCTCACAGTAATCTCCTGAGTGGAGGACTATGTATGTTATTACCCTAATTTTGCAGAGAAAAAAGATGAAGCTCCTAAAAGTGAATTACTTACCATAAGAAGGAAGGTAACCAGCAGCACCGGGAACAGTCAAGAGCTCTTCTGACTCCTAATGTGGTCCTCTTAAATATACATCCCCATTCCCAAAACATACAAACATGCACACCACCATGTACCACTCTACAGGTGTGCCTAAAGGAGGAGATGGGAGGGATGTGAGAAGAACCATGGCTTGCAGGATGCATGAGACCAAGCTGAGCGGAAATGGTTTGAGGTTTCTAAATGATATTGGCCACAAGCCCACCTTGTGCTCCCTCTTAAACACTGAACTATGCCTGCAGTCTAAATAGCGTACTGATACTAGAATCCAGGTCTTTCCTACCACAGCTGCATTTGATTTCAGGAAAAAATGCAATACTTTGTTTAAAAAAAAAAAAAAAAGGAAAGAAAAAAAGAGAGAATGAAATCAAGTGTTAACAGATTAATTTAGCTCAGGCTCATAAGTTTCCTCTGGTGATAATTTTACTTGAATTTTAGTTTTGTATTCTTATTATTTTATTTAGTCTATATAGACAGAAGCTAACAATTCAATTTGCCTACCATTAGCAGTGAAGGAAAGAAAGCAAGCCAGCTCTCAATAGAAGACAGATGGCCAATATGCATATGAAAGAATATTTCAACCTAGCTGGTTATAAAAGAAATACAAACACGATAATCATAAAATTGTGTTTTTCACCCAGGAAACTGGAACACATCTTTAAAATAAAGTATCTGTCAACGGTATAGGAAATGGGAATTCTTAATCAAACACACCTGGTAGAAATAGATAATTTGAAAAAAAAACCAGGTAAATAGAACCATTCTGAAGAGCAGTATGGCAATGATATGAAAGGCCTTAAAACTACTAGAAATTAACATTTGCCCCTATAATTCTACCAAATAATTAATTCTGTTTCTGAAATAATCAAAAACATGCACAAAGATTTAGATACAGAGGTGCTCTATTGCCACAATAATTGTAGAGAAAAGTTGAAAATAACCTCAATGCACAGTAATATACATTTTTAAAGTAACATAGAAGTGCAATTATATAATAAATACTAAGAAATATTAAAAGTAACACTATCAAATATCTTAAAATATGAAATAATTATATACAGATACATAGATACACACAAAGGCAAGTTTCAGAACCTATGCACAATGTGATTCCTCCAGTAATGTAATGTAATACTAAACAAATGTATACAAAATATTTGTAGTAAAAAACTACAATAATAAGTGTTTTATAAAGTTTTTCCATATTTCTCAATAGCATATTTCTCCACGTTAATGTAATTTTGATCTTCAAAAGCTTCAAAGCTAAAAGAAAGTAAAATTAAGTTGAACTCTTTAAAATAAGAATACTTTATCAGACAAATTGGTATAGATAAAGTGACAGATTAAAAATAAAGCAGCACTGGAGAGCAGGCCCACATATTGTACAGACTCACTGTCATGCAGTAATCCCCAGCAGGGCTGGTGTTGAAAATATAATAACAGAAGGCTTTGGTGATACCTCATAAAGCTTGTGTTCCAGTGACAAATAGCAAGGGTAATCAGTTCACATTTAGCAATGAACTCAAATAAAAGTTAATTAGGAAAATGGGGACTCTTTACAGTGTCTAAATGTCAAACAAATTAAAGAATAATGGGTACACTAACATAAACAAGAACCAGGAAAGAAGCCTCTTGGCTGGGCCAACTC